TTTCCCAATTTTAAAGGATGAAATGATAATTTTTTGTAATTTCATATAAAATAATTGAGATAAAAATAAAAGACCCAAAAGAAAATAGAAAAATCTGCACCTCGCCTCCATTCCATCGCTTCGTAGATAGGGCATATAAAAAAAAAATATTTATGAATGTTTGATTGAAATTACATTTCACTCCGATTAAACCTTTATTTGAACCTTATTTTTCAATAAGACGTTTTATTAAACTTATTTTCAAAAACATATTCTCTTGATGAAATTAGTTGATTTTTTAGCCACATATTCTATTAAAATTTACTATTTTAAAATCTATTTTTACCAAACAATGTATGTCAAAATAAACAAGGGTAATTAGTAAAAAAAAGTCTATATCTTTCAATGTTATTGTACAAAACTTCCATACCTTTCATTTTTTAGATTTCACCCCATTTGCACATTTTATTGCAAAAAAAAAAATGTCATTTTCTCAATAAAAATGACAACTATACTATCATATTTAAATAACACAAAAAGAAAAGAAAAATCAAAGAACAAATTGCAATTATGCTCCTAAAATAAAAAAAAATTGCAAATAATTCCAAATAAATTATTAAAAAGGTAATTAGCACGAGTCGTCCGTACCTTTTAATACTGTTATGCAAAACGTCCATACATTTTTTATTTTTTTGGTATTTTCACTCTTATTCTTATATTTCATTGTGAAAAATCATCATTCTTATCAATTTTCTTAATTAAATATGTAAAATGAAGAATATGCCTTCATATATTAAATAAAACAAAAATAAAGAACAAATTATTACTATACTCCCAAAATTTTCAAAAAATTACAAAAAAATTTCAAAAAAAATAATTTAAAAATAATTTTAAATTCCAAAAAAAAAAATTGTTTATAATATGAAGAAAAAATGTTAAAATAAATTTTAAAAAATATATAATAAAAACAAAACAAATTAAACTTTACGAAAGATAAATAAAGAATATATAAATTTTATTTAATTAAATTTTAAAAAATTAAGTTTTATCATTAAGAGAAAAGAATTAAAAAAATTAAATTGGAAAAAAATTATTTATAACACGAACAAAACAAATTAAAAAAAGAAAAAATAAATGAGAAAAAATAGAAAAATAAAAACAAAAAATAAATTTCCGAATGAAGGAACTTTTTCCATCTTGGATGGAGGTTTGATGGAGAAAGCCTTCGCCCGGGATGCATGGAACCTCTGTTCAAGATAGAGCTTCTTCTCGAATGAAGAATATGATGAAGAAAAGCTCCATCCATACATTAGGGATTGAGGAAACCTCCAACCTCACTCAATCGGGATGGAGGAAATATTTTCTTCATCAAACCTCCATCTAGGATAAAGAATCAGAGATTTTATTTTTCATTTTTATTTATTTGTTTTGTTCATGTTATAAATATTTTTTTTGATTAAAATTTCTTTTTAATTATTTTCTCTTCATGATAAAACTTAATTTTTTAATTTTAATTAAATAATATTTATACATTCTTTTTTTTAATATATATTTCTAACTTTTTTTTATTTAATTTGTTTTGTTTTTGTTATATATATTTTTTTAAATTGTTTTAAAATTTCTTTTTTCTTCATATTATAAATAATTTTTTTATTTAAAATTCTTTTTAATTGATTTCGTTTTATGATAAAACGTAATTTTTTCAATTTAAATTAAAAAAATAATATTTATTTTTAATTTTAATTATTTCAATTTATTTAAAAAACTTTATAATAATCTTTTTTTGTTTTTCTATTTTCGTCTCCAATTTTTTTCTTTAATTTGTTAAATCATTTAGTTTCTTTTCTTTATTAGTATTGGATTGGATGAAGTGAAGTAATGTATGAAAATAAAGAAATATTGCATGGAGGTGATGATTGCAGTGAATTGGCGTGTGAAAATGGAGAAATGATTGAAAATAACATGACGTCGTTTTTTCTCGCACGAAGAAAAAAAATTGAAATTCTTTTTAATTATTTTCTCTTTATAATAAAACTTAATTTTTTTCAATTTTAATTAAATAATATTTATATACTCTTTATCTAATTTTCGTAACTTTTTTTGTTCAAATTGTTTTGTTTTCATTATATTTTTCGAAAATTGTTTTAAAATTTATTTTTTCTTCATATTATAAATAATTTTTTGTTCGATTTAAATTTTTTTTAATTAAACTTTGAAAAGTTTGAAGAGATTTTCTCCCTTTATGGTTATGCTCATGTCTACATTATTTTCTAATGTTTTAACTACCTTTTGGCAATTTTACAGTCAAGCTCTAATGACAACAAAACTAAATCCTCGGAAGAAGGTTAATACATGAAATTACGTTTAACATTTTGAGCTATAATTTAGAATTCTGCATGGTGCTTGTCAACTTGAAAAACCATTTTTAATGCAATATTGTTGATATTATTATGTTGTATATTTTGGTGATATTTAATTATTATAATCATGATATAGATTAGGGGCAAAGCTTGAGTGAGCTAAATCATATTTTAGACTCAATTAATATATATAGAGAAATATATTCCACATAAAAAAATTT